CGGGTTTGGTGAAAAACCACTGGTTTTTCTGAGAGCGGAAATGGTTTTGGTAGAAAAGTGCTGACTGGTTGGGCGTGGTGGCCCAGCTTCTTTTGGCGTTTTCTCAATTCTTTGGATTGGAGGTATCGATAATTTTGATGTTTGATTGTGTCCAGACTCCGCAATTTGATTTTCTCCTCAATTTCTCGAGAATTTGATATGTGTAAGTAGATAATGTGTTTTTTTTTATAAGATAATGAAATTACGCAAAATTGAATTACATCAGTGAATTTGTCTCTTTTCACGTTTTCAACCTTTTCTTCAAGTTTGATTTGACTCCATTTCTAATTGATTAAATAGAAAATAAGTGAATCATTGAATCATTGAATCAAGAGAAATAAATTTGATGTTAACCTTTAGTTTTAAAATTTGATGACTCAATTATATACTAACTTTTTCGTACATACCTGTGAGAGGCTCTTTTAAAAAAAAAAATTAAAAATTATTTTAGAATTCAAAAAGATAATGAGTAGTTATGTTCAATAAAAATAGGATTCATTATTTATTTATTTTTAATTTCAATTTTTTTAGTATAAAAATGTGAATTTATCATAATATCCTCAATTAATTAATAATTTCAATTATTAATATTTGCATTAATTGAAGATATTTTTTTGTATTTAGAATATTTTATCATTCTCTGCTTTTTACATTATATATATAATTAATAATTAATTGTTGATCTAATAATATTTCCCATTCTAACAAAATGCCATCTTAACTCTAAAATTCAACTTTCTATTGACCAAAAAATTAATACAAATTATTTAATTTTCTAGTTGTTATATTTCCCTTTCTTTGATGTTGACGAGATATTATAAAATCTGTTACTTCCAACTTCAATTAGACTAAAGTAGCTCAAAACAAAGACTAGGATTAAAGTAGTAATTAGATATCTTTAATTATAGGAGATTGACAAAGAAAGTTTGCTTACAATAATTCTGCAAATTATAGATAAAATGGGGCTAGAGTTATCGCGAGAAACAACGATATAAAAGAGAGACGAAGAGAAGGAGAGCCTATGGGCGAGAACAGGTGTCGAGCTTATCCGAATTCTCAGAGGACATCGGATGACTCAGCGTCATGGACCCAATTCGTGTGTGTGTGTGTGTGTCTCTCTCTCTCTATTGGACTATTACGCATATGTCCTCTTCAGCATGGGGCCGGCTTGCCCACACGTCGTCGTCTTCTACGACTTATCGTCGTATAATAGTAAGTTGTCGCTTCAGGGGCAATTTTGTCTTTTCGATAGTGATGGGAAATGATTTGATATGGAGGAGGGAGAGGGACACGTGAGCGCGTAGGGCCTCTTTTATGCGTTTTGGCGCCATTGGGTGATCACTCTCTCATGGGGCAGGCATGGCCATCACGTGCTGCTGTGGGGTCCCCTGCAGCGGGCTCTGGACTCTTCTTCTATTTATCCTGGCGTCTTCGGCGTTACAAATTACAATGCATAATAAAATAATTCTGTTTTGTTTCTAGTGAGTAGTTAGATTTATACCATTTTCGACGGATGAGATTGGATGCAATTACTGAATCGAACGGCTACCGTTTTTCTTCTTTTGATTGAAACTAGGCCGACAACATTTCCATAATTCATAGTTCTTCATATGAATCCAAGACGGTTTTTGTTGTACCTTGTACGGTGTACATCACGCTGATGTAGCATACCAATTCGGAGACACATTTTGGTTAACAGTTGTACGGCATCGTCATCTCAAGTTTCAAAATATAGGGTATCAGATTCATATCATCCTCCAAACTTGTCAATAACAAAATAAATAAAATTTTCATCTTTCTAAACCTTGATGTTAGATTACGTTTTAATTTAACCTCATTATCCACGTTGATACGCTATTTTAAGGACATTCGTAAATATATTGTACGTGAATGATGTACATAATCGAAAGATGAAAATCAAAATCTAATCTAACATACGAGCTTAATAATAATATAAGAACATATATTAGGATGAAGAGAACATAACCCTTGTGATCCATTGAAAAAAAACTCTTCTAGAATGAAAGTTGTTGCTGGATATAGGTTAGGGTTTTCAGTTTTTGCAAGGATTGCATAAACCAGGATGATTTCATACAGTGATTGGGGATCAAAATGTAAACTTGCTTCATATCCATAGGCCAATGGAAATTTGTTTATTCCTATCACTATAGCGAATGGGTCGCCTTCATAAGGAGAGGTCCACCCACCTATCAGCTTTAATGAACATAATAATTGTAGTTGCAATAATAGTATGCCCAGGTCATTATCAGAGAGAGAGTGGGGGGAGTGAGCTGGAACGGAACATATAGAAATAGTGCTTTTATAATAATCGCTTTTAGACTTCTGCCAAAAAAATGAGAATCTAAAAACAAAAATTAAAAAACCCTGGTATTGTATGTTTGAACCTCCGTGATGGATTTTATTTTACACGGAGAATCTGAGATGGTGATGTGCATCATACCAAAACAGTAAGGCTCGACCTTTAAGTATTATCCACTAATGCTGATTATGGATATTTAATTCTCTGTGGGTTTCATAATTTACGCTTTAGCAGGAATTAATAAACAAATTTCAGTAGGATGGGAACATAAAGATCTTCCAAAAAAGGGTTAAAGAGTGTAGATAGTGTTACTTTTTTAATTTGAAATTACAGGCAGGCAGGTATTTATCCAATTATATTATAAAAGCAGGATTACTACTTGGTTGGAGATTTTTTTTTTTTTTTTTTATAATATAAGTGATAGTCTAAACTACAGGAGATAAGGATTTTTTATACACACAACTAAGATATTATGGGGGTTCGAACATAAAACCTATAATATACAAACCAAAGCCTTTTTTTATTGGACTAGACCTCGTTGAAAATTAATTTATAATTACAGGCAGATGTATCCATCCATTGTCATTGGCTTACATTCCAATGTATTGACAAAGTAGTTTAAAAGATAAGATCTTCTCTTTATTCTCCACAACATCATATAATCTTTTTTTATTAGAGTAACTGCACACATAATCTTTATGCCTGAAATATAAATCTCTATCTTTGTTTATATCTCAAAGATCATAGACATGCAAACAAAAAGCTAAGCAAATATACTGCTACCAAGAAATGGTGTTTCCATTGGATGTCACAGTATAAAAAACCCTGGCCAAGGTTCCCCAATATTTATCTTCATATAATTTGATGGAAAAGTTTTGGTTAACATGTTAATTTATTGTTAGTGGACCATAAAATAAGTATTATACACAGATCTCAATCCAGTTTCCATTATTCTACATAATTAAGAAATGGAGCAAGATTCTTGACATCTCAACTCAGTTTGAAGCAGTCAACTTCGAATAATACCAAATAATCTGATGCAGGATCCTTTCAGACAAAACACACGCATAGATCATGATCCTTAAAGCGTAAGCCAGCATGCAGCAGAGTTGTTATGTACCTACTTACCCATAATCCATATAATCACTTCCATGGAGCAAATAATTGTAATACTCTATTATAAGACACTTGTTTGAGCCGCGTGACCTAACCAAAGAAAAGGGATATATATATATTACTGCATGTCTGATGAAATTTGATAAGCGATCGAACTTCTCAAAACTTTGAATAACCCCATTCCATTCTATGTGAGAAAACAACCCAAACTGCATCAAACATTTCTACAAGAATACAAAATTCATGAAGAAAACTTATGGTAAGCAAATTAGCCGTATGGAGAGGTGTTTGTGTTGGATATCTCAAGAGAGAAGTGAGCCCAAACAGCCAGCTAGAACAGAGATCATAAGTTCTGTAAAAAATCACTATTGTCATTTATGCTATCTACAAGTACATTAGGAGACCTGAAGCAGAGCTTCAGACTAATTTTTCTCATAAAAAGGACAAAGCAAAATTAAGCAAAACAAGAAACAAAAATGTAACATCTATCCACAACGAAACATGCTTCCATTTACCTTTAAGATTGCTCAACGGTCTTCCACACATGAATAGGCGACAATTCAATCATATATAGAAACTTCCACACTAGAGAAAGAAATGATCTAAACAAAAAGGAACATAACTCTACACTGAATCAACCCCTTCAACCTGCTGCTGGGCTAGGTACCTTTCCCTGCGCTCTTTCTACAAAGGAAACCATGCATAACACAAGTAAGAATGTTTACAGTAAGAAATGTATAAAGCTCAATATCATCACTCTATCAAAAGAAACAAAAACATGTCAAACGCCTCACCCATTCATCTATGACAAGTCCTTCCCCTACAATCCGGGGGCCTGTGTCTTCTGGAGGCTTCTTTCGTGCCTCGAGGGCAGCCTCAGCCTCAGCCAATTGCCGCTTAAGTTTTTCCATCGCCTTTACAAAAATCAAATTGAAAGTGAAAAAGCTGCTGCAAATTAAGACAACAAAAAAAGTATGCAGAGTGCAGGAAAATGACAGGTTAGAGATGTATCCACCATCTACTTACAAGGGTAGGGCGTTCAGGATCCAGGAAAACAACACGCAAAACCTGCTCAACCACGACTTGGTCCTTCTGCTCATCAAACTGCATAAATGCATGTAACAGTTAATGTTTAATATCTAGGAATTATGATGCATACTGGTTTCTATTTGTGATAGAAACAAAAATATAGAGAACTTTTCAAGAATAAATGAGATTTATAGTAAGATCAACCTGATTCAGGAGTAGAAGATATATGTTCTAATTATAGGAAAGTTCCAATTAGAATTTCTGCAAACATTTGCTATGAAGTACATGACATCTGAACGTTCACTTACTAATTATATTGGCACAGCAGGCTACAGACAACAGAGAAAATGACCTCAGTTCTGCTATCTCAAGTCTAATTACAATATCTCTGATTATTTTGAGGGAATGTAAACGTCCAGTAGTTATTGGTTACATTTACACAGAAAAATAAAAAAACTATTATCGTGGAAAAGCAATGTATTAAGATACGATAGAAGTTATACAAAATATCTGCAATTATACCAGTTCTGGTACGTAGTCCATATCTCCTTTCACTTTCAAGCTCATGATCTTGAACTTAACCCTGCTCTTCTGGTCTACTAGTTTTTCATTGGTCTCCGGAGGTTCCACAAACTTGAAGACTGTCAATCAAGTTACAATTTTCAGACAATAACTCACTAAAAACTAAAGTAGCTAGCATGTTATTTATTGCAAATGGAAATGAAAAATAACCCAAAAATGAATAGAAGAGTGCGTGAGGGAAGACCATGAAGAATGAATTACCAGTTGCAATAAGACTTTCACCCGGAGCAAGTATTCCCCCCGGAGGACGCATGTAACAACTCTTTGGTGCAGTTGTTTGGAACTAAAACAACCAACATGTAAGCAGTTAGATGGTTCTGTTGGGTAATAAGTGTAACAGATCAAATTGACAGCAGAAAACTCCTAATGCTGTCATCCCCAATTTTCAATTCAAATGTTGTCCCAATTTGATCACAATACTGGTTTATGACTAGTTTCTGATATGTAAAAGAAGTAAAATACTTAATAGGGGGGAAAACACAAAAGGGGGTCTAGATGAGTCAATCGATACCTTGAAAGCTACATGAGACTTGCTTGTGTTTTTAATTCCAATGGCACTCTTGACCTGCTTACCAGGTTCATCTTCAGAGAAAACAGTCACGGTGAGGAAAAACATAACTAGCTTGAATCATCAATCGGCAAAGGAATTGAGCAAGCATTACACTTATCTAATGATTAGCAAAAATGTCTGAGTGAACATCTTATGAGAAATCCTGGGTGATGCTAACAATGTAAGAACAAACCATATTCGGATCAATCAAACCACTCCACACTGGTCAAATGGATACATCATGCAACAGAAACAAACTAAAGAAAGAGAACATCAGAAATAGAGACACCAATAAGAATCGACCAGATCAGCATAACAATTGGAACCACTGTAAGTCTTTAACTCATGAAATCAACAGATCATGCAACTTAAGCAAATCAAAGAACAAAGAATGCAGCTCTATGAACTAAATGTCGAAGACCCAGATAAGCATTTGGCAAATGAAACCAGTGTAAGCTCAAACAGACATCATGCAACTAATTACTCACCCCAAAAGAAACAAAAGTTCCACTCTTTACCTTCAAAATTCTCAGAAAATGGAATAGATGACCAAAATCAAAATCATTATACAAACAACAAAGATAATTAAAGCAGACAAGGTAAGGGGCGTACATGGAAAAAAGAGCTTATTAGCAGGATCAAGACGGAGCCTCCTCCTAGCAGGAAGCAAAGACTTGGTCACATACGACACCGTACTGGCAGAATGAAGAGCCGCACGCTCCACAGACTCGTGAGTCTGACCCAGCTGGTGAACATTGTGCATAGAAGACAAGGTCGAAGACGACGAAGAAGAAGAAGAGGAAGAGGCATTTCTCGACTGCCCAAATGGATTTTTGAATAGACTCCACAGCTTCCCATCAGGCCCAGATTTCTCAGCTTCCACAGCCATTCTCGACCCACCCGCCGGAAATTCGCTTCACGGTAGCAGCCGGAAAATGGGTTTCGCCGGAGATAGTTGGAAAAAAAGTGAAAAGAGAGATTTTGTTTTGTGCTAATTGAAGGCTGAAGCTGAAAGATTGAGGCTTTGGTGCAATGCGTGTTTTAGTTGTGTCTCTGGTTGTGAAGGTCTTTATGATAGCCAATGCCAAATGTGGCTGAATGAGACCTTTCGCTCTGGACTTTTTGGATTGTCGGAATTGGCGGTGGTTACTTTTACTCACTCTCCCTGTTGATGTTGGCTGGCAGTTGGTAGGAGAGCTTCGAGTTTGAAACTTTTGGGCTAAATATTGGCACTATATCATGACCAAAAAAAAAAAGCTTAAATGGGATTTTAGACTAATTAACCCTTAATCTACTAATATTTTTATTTTCAACGTTAAAAGATATCTACAAAATCGACGTTGATTAAGTCAGTTAGCCAGGACGGTGAGTTCGCCCCTTTCACCCGAACCCCTCCCAGTAGATTAGTGGTTTACAATAATTAACAGCTTGACAGTGATTTACAACAAAAGAAAATGACAGATAGCGACAATATAGCTACCCATTGGTGGAAGAACTATTGCTTCGGATAACACTTGCACCAAAATCAAAGTTCTCTTTCAAATCTTCTTATGATTCCTTTTTTCTTTCTTGTATTTTTATTCTGATAAAGGCTTAAAGAGGAGAGCATGGCATAAGGCCATCATAATTAAAATAGGCTATGATGTTTAGAGCATTAGAACATGTTCTGGTGGTGCCATGAAAGATAACGACACAGCAAACCCACCACTGATGCTCCCATGTGGCCCTCTTGTGAAAGGCATCTCATCTTTTCCAATATCCCAAATCAATGAAATCATGTTTCGTACAGTTGATTTGGGGGCAATAAGAACAGTTGCTAACTTGCTATGGTATAATCAAACAGCTTTTGCGTAAAGTTGCTTTCTGTTCCTTGCATCTTGTTCCACAGTCTAGACTAAGTTGATGGACCCAAGAGCTTATTGCTTGGAGATTAGAGCACTACCATATGACAGTAGCTACTTAATAATATGCTCCAATTTCAGGATAGTAATTGATTGGACATAATTCAATTCGACTGTTTTTAGTCTAGGAAACATTTTACTAGATTATGAATCATATTCTGTCATATAATTCAACCCACCAAACACACCCTAAGAGTAAAAGCATAGAATTTTTATTTCCTCTTTTTTTAGAAAAAGTTCTTACAAAGATATGATGATATTAAGATTATAGATCAGGATGCGTACATCTTGAAATACACACACAAACATACATAATGCTTAGTGATGATTTCATAAACATGGAGGGGCATGCAGCATATCTTTCCAGCTCAGTTGGGTCCCCAACAGCTCAAGTACATAATTAGTCTAAGTGGTTCTTCTGATTGCTTCAGATTCAGAGTCCTCTGCTTGCAATATTTCTTCGACTCCATTGTTGAAGATGTAGACGAAGAAGATTTTCCCACTTGTGTAGACAGTGGCATAATGTTGTTAATTAGTGCATGTTGGTAGCTCCGCAGGGATCTCCATTTGCTTAGATTCTTTTCTTTAAACTGCTCCACAGCTGCAACAGTGCCCAAAACAGCCCAAGCCTTGCTCTTCCACCTCATTTTTTAACTTTTGAATGACGGCCACTACCAATAATTTAAAGAACAAAGTAGAATTTGTTACAGTAAGTTGGAGAGAGTATTGAGATAGACATATATATAAGCATTGAGACTATCTAACTGAAGCCATAAATATTCACAGAGAGAGAGAGAGAGAGAGAGCTAAGGGGGTGATGAGAGTGGAGGTGGTTTCACTTGGGTTGTGGTTTTTGGCCATACCAGCGGCTATTTTGTTCTTTTCAGCCCAGAATTTTTGGAGAAAAGTTGGTTTCAGTTTTCCCTTGGGTGAATAATTTAGTAATAAAGTTGTGTTGTTCTTATGATCGGATTAGGCCAAAGCCAAGATGCTGTGCCAAATTTAACACTTTAGTCAAGCAAGAAGAAAAACTGAATTTGGAAAACTTATGTGCCCAATGTATTTTACTAAATTTGTAAGAGCATTTGCCTCAAAGTAATTTACAATGGCCTTAAGCTAAGCCAAGCTTAATTTGGTTGGTGTCAGTTGGGACCCCAAGAGTTAAGATACATCACTTTCCTCATAGACTCCTCTGACTGCTTTATTTTCTCTTCTCTCATGATCATGCTTGAAGCCATGGCAGAAGAAGAAGAAGACAGCTTCTTGGCCTGAGAAAAAGACCTGAGATGGTTCTTGGCTTGCTGGTGCACCAGTCTCATGGGATAGTTCCATCTGCACACCCCTTGGTCTTTCAACACTTCCACGACTCCAACTGTGGCTGCCACAACCCAAACCCTACTTGCTGTTGCTGTACTCATCATTTTGATTTTCCTTTTTCTTGGGATGTAAGTCTCTTAATTTGTATTGAAATTATGATAAGATAGGTCTTTTGCAAGAGAACAAAATTTGAGACAGGTTGAGTTGAAATAATTGGCATGGAGGGTCTCCTTATATAGAAAGGAAATAATAAGTTACTTGAGTTGGATCATGGATGCATGAATGAGAGAAAGAAAAGGCCAAAATATTAGGACAAAACCAGAGGCTACTATGTTGCTGCTGGTTTTGAGCCGAGGAAATCCAGTGGATTTTCTGGTTTGAACTTTTCTGCTGGGGTACACACGACATTATGCGCACCTTGTTTCTTCAATATAATAATGTTGAGGCCACAGAATATATGGGAGAGTAAAAGCATTTGTCATCATTCCAGTCCAGTGAATTAAAAAAATAGAGATTTATATAAAAGCTCAAATTATATATTAAAAAATCTTATATGAAATGGACTTTAGAAACACAATAAGAACTTATTTACAACATAACAAAGAGACTTTGAACGTACTATAAATTACAAAACTACCATTGATTTCTTTTTTTTCTTTTTTTTATTTATTAAAAGAGATAGTAATTTTACTGATAACACATAAAAAAGTACAGAGTAGTCGCAATGCCAAACATGAGTACAACATCTCCAGTGACCAAACACAAAAATAAATTGGTTTGATCTAGAGAGAATTAGACATGCCAAAAAAACCTAAAACTCCAATTCGGCAGACAAGAAGCATCTATACTCAGACCTACAATACAAATCCACAACGCAACTGCAAATCCGCATCGAAAAGTCGAACACTAAATACATATATCAGTAAACTCCTATTGAGTTTCTAAGAATTATTAGACTAAAGTAAACATAGAAACAAGGACACCGCACCACTTCATCTCCAGCAAACTTAAGAGACCCGTAGCACCAACATGGCTAAACCTCTTATTTTGCACAGGCAAAATCCGATCCCATACAAACCAACAACAATCACTTTTCCAACTCCAAACACTAAATTGGAGCAAATTCCATATGTGTGGACCAAAAGCCACAACAAAATCATGGCGTTTACGATAGATTGCAGTACTTACTTCAAAAACACAACGAAAACCAAAGAGAAAAGCTGGGTCAACAACACCACATCGCAACCATCCCAGTGACAACAAGATACATCCAAGAACAACAAAAGTCACCAAGGACCTACAACAGAAAACACACAAACAAACAAACAAACAAAATACAAGATCCAGATATATCTGAGCAAAAGGACCTAAAATCTGAACAAATCTGGAGAGAGAATAGGAGAGGGGAAAGAAAACTAGGAAAGGAGAAAGGGAGATGAGGAGAGAAAGATGGAAGATGGGGAAGCCACCCACCCCCAGAGGGGGGCGGCGGCTACAGTGCAAGCTCACAATTTCACCTTCAGAAAGCCATTGATTTCTTAAAACAAGCACAACCTCAGAACCTCATAAAAAAAACCCCAAAACACTCAGCAAGACATGAGTTTTTTGAGTGTTTTTTTATTTGTTTATAGAAATTAAATGATTCGGGATTTATTTACTAGCTATGTACATTATTGCATTCACTATTTTCCCTGGCTATGGACAAAATTATTTACTAGTTACTTGGTACTAATTAATGGTAGGATCTCCAGAGAAAATTTGATTTTAACCCCTTACTTTCCTTAAGGGACCATACATGATATAGATTTTTTTGGTTAGGGATAATGATCAGATGACATATGAATTTTCATATTAATTGTATATATCATAGAGAACTCATAGATTTACAATTTACAATAATTTTGTAAATAAACAAAATTTCTTCAGGCTGCACAGCCTACACCAACCATGGTCAGCTTAACCACATGTTTCCAGCTATCATCATGCCATGCCTCAAAACTTGAAAATTTGTAATCCAAGCCTGCCTTCAGTGCCAAATTGTATTGATTATCTTCTTCAGCTACAAATTATATAGTTGCTGAAATCAATTGGGTCCCCAGCAGCTGAGGTACATGACTTTCCTGAGAGACTCTTCAGACTGCTTCACCTTCTCATCTCCAAGCTTGCTTGAAACCAGAGCAGAGGATGAGGAAGAGAGCTTGTTAGCCTGAGAAAAAGACCCAAGTTGGCTCTTTGCATGCTGCTGCATTAATCTCATAGTATAATTCCACCTGCAGATCCCTTGGTCCTTCAAGGCCTCCACAACTCCAACACTTGCTGCCACCACCCAACCTCTCCTTGCTGCTGCTGATGATGAACTGCTCATATTGATATCTTCTTCTGTAAACTCTTAATAAGAACACTCTTAAACTTGATGGGAAGTAAAACTTATGTTTTGATGCGTTTGAAGCTTGAAGTAAATGGGGAGTTGGTGTTGCTTTTATATGGAGGGAGTGAGAGTGACACTAAAACTGGGGGAAACCATGGGCTAGCTCTAGCCGTAGAGGTTTTTGCTGGGGTAGCCAGTGGTTTTTCCTTAGTGGGGAGTCAAGATTAGGCTAGTTGGTGGCATTCAATTTTTTTTCCTGTCACCTATTTGTCACATTCATTGACGGAGACAAAATTGGGTTGGGTAGGACCAAAGCACACGGTTTTCCTTTATAAAATCCATTTAAGCCTCAGGTATGGGAGGAAAGACCACTTATTTTTGTTTGTTTTCTAGTGGAAATTATCTTCTTTTTTGGGAGACAGTCCAATTGGTTTGAGTTAAGAAATATTTTAGAAGGAATGCTTCTTGGAAACTACTGGTGAAAATACTTGGGTTTGGAGATCCATTATTATATTGATATTATAATATTCTAAATTCATGTTTCCAATAGGATGCTACTCGCCTCATTTGACTCATTACCTGTATCCTTACCTGTAAAGAGGGAAGTAAGCATTTTCCTGAAGGAAGTATTTTCCTTTCCAATAGAGCATGAGATGTATCATGTATTGGCTGAGCCATCATGGCTAATCCTCTGTCCTAGTTTCAGATTGGGATGTTTCTAATCCTTTGAATTAATGAATTGGTCTTTCAGATTAAAGAAGGAGATTCCAAATGATAAAGTCATAGATTAGATACAAACTTGGCTTAATCTGAATCTGTGAGTGGTGCATTTTTGTCAATCCATCATAGCACCAAGTTGTGTGAGGAAATTTACAGTGTAGATGATCATGGCTCAACATTTCGACTTCAAATTCCATAAAACGTTTCCTTCTTCAAATATACTGTTTTGAAATTAAACAAATTCAACTCAGACCTGTAGGGTTGATAAATCTTCCACTCATGACAAAATAAACAATGGGCAAAATATATACACAAAAAAACAGAGACCAAAATAATGATTTAGGCAGCAATTCCCAGAAACATATATGTTTTATATGGTAACTGTCTTAACATGACATAATTTACATCAATTTGCCCCAAGCAGACATGAATTGTCTGCCATTTACAAGCACAAAACGATCGCCAATATGTAACTATGTCCTCATTTGGTGTAGCTCTTCATGGGTTGTGTCATCTTGTTTCATCCCTTGTTCATGCTCAAGCTCCATTGCAGCAACCGCTGGCACAAAAATCTGATCTTTTTCCTCTTGTTTTTGTGCTGATTGAATTAGTTGGGACCCCAGCAGCTCAAGTACATGACTGTCCTCAAAGACTCCTCTGATTTCTTCAGCTTTTCATCTCTGACTTTACCCAAAGCAGCTGAGGCAGAAGAAGATGAGAGCTTGTTGTTGGCATGAGAAAATGACCTGAGTTGGGTTTTGGCTTGTTGGTGCACAGATCTTAAAGCAGAGTTCCATCTGCAGATCCCTTGGTCCTTCAGTGCCTCCACAACTCCAACACTTGCTGCCACAATAGCCTTGCTTGCACTTGATGAACTCATCGTGATTATGATTTCTCTTCTCTTCTCTTCTCTACTAGATTTTTCAGTCTGATTTTTTTGCTCTTCAGTTGGTATGTGAATGCGTGTCTGATGAAGGAGACGGGCAAAGAGTGCTTATTTATATAGGGGATTAGAAACGGGGTGCTTTTTTGTCTGTTCCCAAAAACTAGAGGCGGTTTCCTCAGTGAAAGCAAATGGGTCTTTTTCTTTGGGATAGAAAAGCCAGTGGTTTTGTTTGTTTTGGACCTTGTGGATGATGCACTGTGAGTTCAGATATTACTCAACTGGACATCCAGATGCAGTGGAAATGATCAATTAAACATGGGTAGAAGTGGATTTTCAGAATTTCGATAAGCACAACATTTTGCTGCCACGTGGGCACATGGTTTTGCTTTGCTTTCTTTTTATTTTTTTATATATTGAGAAAACTGAATTTCATTCAATAACCAACTAACATAATACAACGAAAAGAAGGAAAGGGATGTACAAGTCTGGGCCTCTGTAAAAAATCTCTGGCGTAAAAAACCCCCAAAAAGGAGGAAAAAAAGCGCCTCCCAGTTGACATTGAATACATAAATCAACAAGTAGCTTTTAAATCTGCAGCAGGCAATGAACTCAATCGAGGAGGCTCCTCCTCAATCCATGTATAAAAACCAATGTTCCTAATAGCATATTGGGCTAGCTCATGAGCAACTACATTACCATTACGGACCCAAGAATCTGCATTACCATTACGGACCCAAGAATCTTATCTTGTAGGGTCATAGTATAAAAGTTAATTTTTTTTTTTTTTTTAAAGGTTTGTGGGGGGTGGAGATTGGGGATTTAGGTTTGAAGGTTTAGGAAATAGGGGTTTTGAAGTTCTCAAGTCGGGAGGAGGGTCTGTTTCAATTATACAATCTGTTCTTTTTTCTTTTCAAAGACCTGGACCAAAACGACGTCGTTTTGGCCATGTTTTTTTTTTATAAAAAAAGTGTTGTTGTTGGTCCAAAACGACGGCGTTTTGGCCAGCGCAAATTCGTTTTGGCCAGCTTGTTTAAAAATTTAAAAATATAAATAAAAAACAGAACCCTTATTCAGCTTCTTCTTCCTCAGATCTGCAACCTCCTCCTTCACCCATTCAGAGTCACACAACCATTCAAGGGGACCTTCTACCTTACTTTCATGGAGTTCATAGGATCGTTTGACCCCACTGTGAGTCCGTCCCTGACTATCACGTCACTATCATTCGTACGAGAAAGATCTGAACCACAACCGCATCTTTTTAATATCTTCCACCAAGTTCCCTTCTGCTTCAAAATACTCTTTGTCAGAATTGATTCTATTTACTGTCCCTTGTGCGTCTATTTCCAACACAATGTCTTGAAACCCAAAATTATGCGCAAACTTGTATGTATTTAGGCTCGCAGTGTAGGAGTGAAACTATTTGTTTACTTGGTTTGGTGTGGACCGTGGGCAGAAAAACAAACATTTTAGTGTCCTTCTTTCTCTCTATTTGCTTTGGATAATTATAGGCGTGAGTCTACTACTTGTTGACATGTCATTAAATAAATAGTGAGTATTATAATTAGGTTAATTGTCATTTGATGAGTATGATTTAATCTACATATTACATGAATGTCCTCCACGACAATTAATATGATGGGTATTGCTCACCGTCAATTAAGAGTGGTGAACAAAATATAAAAAGGATGGTACCTGCCACCATTTTTGAGAGCACCATCAACACTCAATTTGATATGAAATGTGTGTAGGCATAAAACCTTTTTACACAATTCACAATCATTGTATATATCATAGAATAATGAATTGTATATATCATAGAGAATTCAGGGATATACAATTCACAATCATTTTGTAAATAAACAAGGCCGAATTAATATTCAATCGGGACCCCAGCAGCTGAGCTTACTTGAAACCAAAGCACAGGATGAACGTAGGAGGAAGGAAACCCATAAAAATGTGGGCAAAACCATGGGATGTTTTGGGCTATAGCTTTTGTTGGAGAAAGAAACCATTCAAGACAATGGATTTTACCCAATTAGGGCAACTCAAATATGTTTCACTACTAAATACTCAAATTTATAGGTAACTGTCATAACATAATTTTATATATCCTGATCATTTGATATATATAAAACTCAAGGAGCCCCTTCCTGGCTTGTTTCATCCTTTTGTTCATGCCCAAGCTCCAATATTTCAGCAACCGCTTGCACAAAAATCTGATATTTTTGCTCTTGTCTCTGTGCTGATTGAATTAGTTGGGACCCCAGCAGCTCAAGTACATGACTGTCCTCAAAGACTCCTCTGACTTCTTCAGCTTTTCATCTCTGGCTGTACTGAAAGCAGCTGAAGCAGAAGAAGATGAGAGCTGAGAAAATGACCTGAGTTGGGTTTTGGCTTGTTGGTGCACAGATCTTAGAGCAGATTTCCATCTGCATATCCCTTGGTCCTTCAGTGCCTCCACAACTCCAACACTTGTACTTGACATCATGATTCTGATTTCTTTTCTCTTCTCTACTATTTCTCTCTTAAATTTTTTGAACTCCTCAGCTGTGAATGTAAATGTTTGAGTGTATTATTGATGGAGAAGATGATAATGAGGTACTCTCCTTATATAGGGGATTAGAAAAAGAAAAAAGGTGAGTGTCTGGATTGGGATATCACTGTTGTTTACGTGCTGATGGATTGGGATATTCAGATAAGCACAACGTTTTGCTGCCTCATGGGTACACGGTTTTTATTTGAATTATTGTATTTTAGCCTGCGGACTGGGTGTGAAGCCATTTGTTTGCCTGTTTAATTTGGAGTGTGGGCCAAACGAAAGAGCAGTCACTTAATTATTTTGGACTCTACTTGGAATGTGGGCCAAACGACAGGACAGTCACATGATTGTCACAGGTGGATGTGCATCGGTTGAGTATTAAGAATATCAATTCTTACTTCTTATTTTTATATACAAGTAAAAAATGTTAGGGTAAAGTGTTGAAAATCTCCCTGAACTATAATGCTTATCACAATATCTACCATGAATTATTTTTTCAGCCAATTAGCCTTCATATTATTTTAAATGGCCAATTCAGCCCTTACCGTTAGTTTTCATCCAATTTTCCATTTAAATGTCACATAGTAGGCACATGACTCACTGTTCAATTAAAAATTAATTTTTTTAAATTTAAAATAATTAAAGTTTAAAAAAAAAATTAATTTTTAAAAACCCATTTTCACGGAGAATTCTCTCCGGTCTAGAAAGCTTCCTGGCTCTCCCACCACCACCTACATCCTCCAAGCCTCTCAAACTTTCAGAAACTCTCCCTCTAGAATCCCCAGACTGGGTATCAATTTTAGGCTTAGCAGGCAACTCATATGGGAAAAATGAAAGGTTATCAGAGCTAATTGTCCTATAAAGGCTGTTATTACACGAATCCTTACGATTACTCTGCATCAATGAGTAAATCCACCACCATGATTTGACAAAGCGACTCCATCTCCAATTGGC